TGCACCGGGATTTTAATTATACGAGTATGTTGGTACACAATTCATAACTTAAAAAAATACAAACACTCTACACTGAATCAATACAAAAAGCATTTTTTTTTTTACGTTTGACATAAATGTCAATTTCATACAGTTTTTATGAGGTGCTGAGCTTAGGCAGTGACTGCAGCCTCTGGTTCAAGTTCAGTATATATCACTTCTGCTTCACCTCCAGTTTTTAACAACTAAACTGTTTTCTTCAGCTGCAGAGATGTCAGCTTTGATTTCTCCTTCTCTCTTTAGGTTTTATTGAGTTGTTCTACTTAATTCGCTGTTTCATCACTGATCAATGTTTTATCACTGTTTTATCTTGAAAACTGAACAATTGCCTAACCTCTTTTTTTATGTGAACACAGGGACCCCTGAGGTTTACTGGGTGTAAAAAGGAAAAAGGTCTGAAAGGCTGCTCACAATTTACACCTCTTGAATGCCGACCTCTTCTCCTCAGCGCCGTTTATAAACGGGAGCCGGTGTACAGTGTGAAAAGATTCACATCTTAAAACCAAGGATGCTTTCCCCATTTTCCCGAGGTAGGACACAAGTCAATATCTAGCCTGAGGTTATTTAATTTAGACAAGCAGTTTGATTCATACATTAAAATTTCCAATTACCTGTCAAGAGTTGAGTGAACCCTGAGGAGGCTGTTTTAATCATACAGCTTTATCAAACTCTTTAAATTGAGTTTAACGGGGATAGGATCAAACATTCTGCCTCAGGGAAGGTGATATCCCTTAATTTGGTGAAAACAGTCAACATTTTGAAAATCCATGTTTCACTACATATACATAATAAATCTTTGATCCTTTCCTTTCCTTCTCCGTTGACTGATCTAATTCATGTAGTTGTTAGAATGCATCTTGAAGAACTGATAAAGACCCACAAGGGATCATTTCATACAGGCCCAGTGAGAAGTTTACTTAATTCTCATCATGGGATGAATATCATATTAATTTAGGGCTTTTAGAGGCAATTGAACTGTTCTTTCCCCGAGGCTGAAAGGATAATAAAACAAGTAAAATAACAGAGGTGGAACAAAGTCACAAAAAATAAATAAACCTTTATGGGGCCTGACGTCAAAGTCTCAATGTTTCAAATGTCTAACTAGTCCTAATCAGCTATCCATGAAACACAATAAACAGAACGTCTCAAAGCATTAAAGTTAAACTTCTTTATTTAAATCTTTCAGCCCTGCAATTTTTTAGGATGTATCCTATATTTAGCTCGACTTTTCTGATATAAACGAGTCAAGTTTTAAGTCATCATGTCTGATTCGAGTCAAATTAGTGTCATAATGTTGGCTCTGATGACTGGCTTAATTATTCATTCCATTCACCTGTCCAACACTGCCCGGTTTCTAATCACTGCTCATTTGATCCACCTGCTCCTGCCTCTATTTAAGGTGACTGCATCTAGTTATCAGGGCCAGTTTATCTTGTTCTCTCATGCCAGTGGTGAAAGGGTTTTTAGCGTTTCCTTCCTACCATCTGAACAGTTTGTCTGAACGAGGGGTGTCAAAGTGGTTCCAGGAAGGGCCGTGTGGCTGCAGGTTTTCTTTCCAACCAAGCAATAGCACACCAGACTCCAGTCCTTCATTAAGTAAGTCCAGTCTTAACATGATGACTTGATGAGATGACTGGAGTCTGGTGTGCTATTGCTTGGTTGGAAAGAAGACCTGCAGCCACACGGGCCTTTCTGGAACCAGTTTGACATCCCTGGTCTGAACTGTCTTTATGCTCCTTGACCTCTGAGCCTTACTCTTCTAATCTTTTTGCCTGACCTGGCTTCGGAGTCCTGCTGGTTTTCATTTCTACGGGGCTGCAGGGCCGGAGACGCACTGGGTGGCGCCCATCACATCTTGTTGGCAGCCCACCGGCTGGATCCTACTCGCTCTCAGGACTCTGGGTGAACTGTTAAACCAGGTTAGCGACTCACTCGTTCATGTCATCCTCCGTTGGATATACGTGGTCACTAACCTGTGTTTCCTTTTACAGGTAGACACTCCAGCTACTGAAGCGCAGACCTGTTTTTAAATAAACACTTTTCATTTATCCCACTGTGTGTGTTGCCTCGAATATTGGGTCCTCTGTTCTGAGTCAATACAGTAAGAGATGCTCTAAGCCAACAACGATACAAGCAGACTTGGAAAAAAGCATTCAGTTTTTTCAAAATGTGTCTAAATGAGGCTGTCCCAAAATTGGGGGATCTGGAAAGCTAATTACATGCTAATTAAACAATCTCAATGCTAAGCTAATAAATAGCTAACCTAAAAATCAATAGAAGTATCAGTAAGTTCATTATTTCAACTGCAACTCTCTTCAGAGACATTTATGAGAGAGAGCCATTGTTACACATCACAACGACAGAGCTACCGTTGTCAGTTCTTCTGCATGACAATATTTTTTGAGCTAATATCAATAGTTGTTTAAACTTCGAATGTAGTGCACTAGTTAAACAGCAGGAGGTGCTGCACAGATGGCTTTATATCCCAAAAAAGGATTTCAACAAAAATGACAGCACTATGAGGCATCTACATATATGGTTTGTTAGCAAACAAAGAGGTCAAGAGGTGAAGTAAACACTCAGTGACTGCTAAGCATCAAATTAAGTTTATCTGCTATTCAAGTTAAAGGATGGAAATAATCAGAATAGAAAACAGGAATATAATTAAACAAAAAACTCTGCTTTATTTTATTGGCTGATTTTTAAAGAGGAACATACAGTATGTCCATACTTCTTTGTGCAAATAAATATATAAGTAAACTAAGTATGAATCTAAGTATATTGATCATTATATCCAACACTCTTTCCTAGGATGACTTTGAAGACAGATTATAAATATAAGGACAAAATTAAAGCAAATGAACAAAAAACTGGATCTAAAATGGATATAGCAGATTAAAATTAGGCTTCTGGGATCCCTGACCTTAACCCATCACAAATGTATGGTCTGTGCTTAAAGCCCAATCTATTCCAGGAAACTAAGGAGTTTAAATAATCACTATTGTGATAATAGAATTCCCAGATAGCAGATTATTTGTGCAACTCTGTAAGGTGTTTATCGAGAAAATTCACAATCTTTTATGTATAAATTAGACTCTCTGGATCAAAGAAGATTCATCATAAAATTAAACTAAGGCACCTGAATATTGTCTTATCATCTACCACTAAAAGTTAACTATTAAATGCTTAATCAGTACCCATAAATAGTATGTTTAAATGTATATACCAACTGTAAATGTTTTCCTTAGTCCTCATTATTCTCCACTTTGACAAAATCTTATTCAACTAGTGATTTCCATTTGCTTTACTAGTGAAACTGATACCTTTCACTGCAAGAAAATAGTTGTTTTGAGAAATTCTGGAATTGTAAACAGATTTCTTAACTGACTCTTTTGGGTTCCCCTTTTAAACACAACTAAAGTACCATCAGGTTTTTGAGAGATTAAATAAAATAACTACTTTAAGCTGAATATTTGCTTTAATCTCTCAGAAACCTTAGAGTATAATAAACTTTAGCTTCAAAGTTCTTTAAAAATATAAAATGCATAGAAAAATAATATAATGGAATAAACACAATATTTATTTTCCCTTGGCAGGACAATTCATGTGGACATTCGTATAATGTTAAACAACAACAACATAAATAATGAACAAGGATCCATCTATTATATTCTAGCAGTTATTTAAAGTGGATTTTTTTTCTGAATAATAACTTTACATTTTAGAAAATGTACAACACAATTAATGATTGTAAATATATCAAAATATTTTAATGATATTTCACACATTTAGCCTAATATTTTTCAAATTAATAAAATCAGTATCAAAGTCTGTGATTGTTTGTGGGGTTTTCTTTATAAATAATGTTAATAGTATTTAATTAAACTGGTACATAAAGGTTTTGTTGTTTTTCAGTAGGTCTGAAGTTGCTTTAGAGACACATGGACCAAAAAAGCATTTTTTTCAAAACAGACATTTTTGTCCTTGATGACTTCAAAAGATAGAAATTTAAACTAACTATGTTAAGGATTCTTATAGAATCCAAAGGTAATTCCTTCCACAGTCAGATTAATTATTATAGTAAAGAATATCATAAGATATATATGATTTTTTATGTTGCTCATCCCATTCTTATATTTCTCGTGTACTTTGACAAATACTATGTACTTTATTTCCTCCTGTTCCCTCAAATAACGTTATGGTCAAGTCTAAAACCAACATATGCCTCATCTGCAGGTGGTCACAGCTGGACCCCCTGTTTTACCATTTCTGAATCCATTTCACAAAGAATATTACCGAGATCTGAGCTGCTGGAAGATATTTTCCATTCTGTCTCATCAGTGGCAGGAATGATGTCTGGCATGGCAAACAGAGTAAGTGTAAGCTCCCTAAATAAAGCATGAAATTGACAGGATGCCCGTCTAAGTGAGGAAAGCACACAGCCCGCGGCCCCTTAAGAAGGACGCAGGTACAGCTGCTCACCTCCAGGCTTCACGCCTTCCATTTGGACTTCCATTAAAGCGCCCAGCGCTCTCTGAGTCAACACTTTTAATGCAGAAAATGACTTTATTTTCCATTATAAGCACCATATTAAAAGATCTGCCTACACAAAGAGCTGCTAATTTTTTCCACCCCTCCACAGAGACATTTGCATACATTGGACCACTGAAGACGGAAGAATTTTAGCCCATTTCAGTGATTTGGTCATGGTTGTGTTCAAGTGAGGGATAGAAAAGAGTAAGCAATTTACTTCACCATGAGTCTGCTTTCAAAACCTTGTTGGGAAAACCTGACACGTAGCACATATATTACCTCGCAGATGATTTGGTGACTGACGTGTATATTGATGAAGATTTATGTCTCCACATTTAAATGTGGGGGTGTGATTGTCAACGTGTGGGTCTGGTTGTGCAAAACAGAAGTTAGGTGCAACAGATATTTCAGAGAAGCTTCTGACTCACCAGGGAATTGGTAGCTATAGCTGGGTGCAAATCCAGTGTATCCGCGGCCATACGTTGCCACAATGTTAGGGTAACCTTTGTTAGGGAAACAGATTAAAAAAAAAGGTGAGAAAACAGTTTAAAACATACCAAAACACACACTATTATAGTATATACAAATAATACAGTATTTTGCACAGAGCATTGCAAAATTATTTACATCCCTTTGAAAATGGTCATGTTTCAAGCTTTTGGAATTAAAGGAATTAAGACAAGAGATGAAGACAGGGATGTTAAAGGAAAAAAATTCTGGTTTTATAACATTTTGCTGTTAAAAAAAGGTCACTCTACCAGTAAGGTCAGAGTTGTTCTCCAACTTAATACCAAGTCATTTGGAACCTGTTTCTTCAAAAAATGCTTGAAATTCATCAATATTATTTTTTCTGATCTGATTGGTTATCCTGCTGAAGTAAAACCATTCCCACATCATGATGCTGCCCCCACCGTGTGTCATAGGTTTTGTGTACTCAGGGTTATAATCAGTCTGAAGCCACAAGGCCAGAGGCAATCTTTGTTGTATATATGTAAGTCATTAAGTACATATGTAAGTAAATATCATCTCAACCTGAAGAGACACAAGGGGCGATAGTGAGGCTATTAGAGAGTTTATTGACATGAATTAATATATTGTTATGCTCAAACCCTGGCTGAGCATTGCTGATGATGCTCATGGGGAGATTTATAAGAATGGAGATGACTTTTTCGCTGGAGCATTGACACCAGTGGTGAACTGGAAGATAGAGGAAAGGAGCTAGATGGTTGGAGGGCAGACAGGACCATGATGAGGGAGCTTAAAAAGGAGGCATGGATGAATTGGCTGTTGAGGAGGCTTGGAGTGTAGAAGTAGATTGGCAGAAGTAGATCATGGTGACATGGCAGTAGGGATATGCATGTGAGGCTTGGCAGTCGTTCAAATAAAAAAAAAAGGCTAACCTTAATTTATATAGCACCTTTCTCTGATAAATCATTCTACAGTTATAGGAGTATTTATAAAAAGTGCAACTTCAAAACTACAGAGTTGTTCTCAGTCATTAACCCTGTTTTCCTCCCCAAGGAATCCAGTTTAAGTCAGCTCCTGTTTCTGCAAAATTTTAAATAAATTTGTTGAATGCTTATTTTTTGTGACGGGTAAATTATTGGGTTTTCATGGTCTGCCCAGGATTTACAGTGCATGAGTAGCGCAACACGGTTACACTGCAAATAGTTCTTTATACATGAGCTGTGGATCTCTGCAGTTCCTCCAAAGTAACAATGGGCCAATAATTTATTGAGTGATTTATAGTGGATTTTGAAGTATTACATTAGAAGAGCTTGACAGAAACACACATTTTAATAAATGTATTAAATTTCTCAAAAAAGTTTTGATGGTTACTTGAATTATTTTTTCACTTAAAAAAAAAAAAAAAAAAGAATGGAGCCAAAATGAAAACACATTTTGGGAAAAAAATTTGATTTGGCCAATATCTTCCTCACATGACTGATAAGCTGGTGTGCTTAAAGCAGCATCTGTATCACACATTTCTCAGTGTCTCCAGATTGAATGATCCATCACTAATGCTAGCTGACATGATAAAGTAAGTAAAACTTGCCTGATTACAGAAAATGTATTATAACCATGGTCCATCACTGATGTGTGGTCATGCTCTCTTGCTAACTGTACTTCCTGTTTACTACAGCCAAGTGTAATGTCTATAAATAACATATAAAAAAGATGGCTTTGGGCTCAAGCCACACCCAAAAAATATCGTTCTACATTCCTAGTTTGGATTGGAATAGAGTCTGTTATATTGACGTTGGTACAGATCTGAATAGAAATGTTGAAATAATAGGTAAACATTTGAAACCCCTTGTCAATTTGCTACAACAGATGGAAACCCATCTATATCACATTTTCTTCAATATTTTTTTTGTCTTTTAAAGTTTTGCTCAAACTTGGCATCACATTAGGATAGAAACTGAACTATATTCAAATTCAATTACACAGAGGGGATTTTTTTTCTACCAGTTAGCTGATTCATGGAGAAATATGTTTGCATTAGGTTTGTTAATGCTTATCAAAGTAAAGAGTGTGTGAAAAACCAGAAGGGGTGGGAATACTTTAGCAAACCATCAATAGCCTTAGGGAATCAGACCTAGATGGAACCCTGAAAGGTTTTCCTGTTATCTTAATTTTCTCAAAATTACATGTTCCAGTTAAAATGAGCGTAGCTCTGCAACCACAAGGTCTATTTGAATATATTCAGGGTCAAAGTAAAGAAAACACTTGTGAGATTTATGGGGTGTCTAAATATAAGCATATATGTTACTGATGAAGGGTAAATGAAGATAGCACAGCAACATTTCAGACTTCCTCTAAAAAACATTTTCAGCATTCACAACTCTCTGAAATGATACTTTGGAAGCAATTACTCTCTTTTAAACTAAAGTACAATATGTTGACATTGTTTTTGTAAAGACCTCCAATTCCAAACTGAAACTAAACAGAATTGCAGAGCTTTTTTATTTACCAAAAAAATCAGGTGAGATTTCCAACATGGCCAATTGGCACAGTTGTCCTGATCTGTGTTAATATGCATTTTTTCATGTAGAAACATTTATTTTTCATATCTGGATCACTAGTAATGATGAGTAGAGTTGAACGCAAAAGTTTTGGACAACGATTAGACAATTCAACAGTGCACCCAAGCACACATCTGCAGCCTCACATTTTCACAGTACCTCGCTACATGTGGGTGCACAGAGCCATAACTCCGCAACAGACTGATTAATTTTGACGAATCATACATCATTTAAACTGTTAGAGACAGTTAAGTTAATCTAGAGGAAAGATTGACAGTAGTTTCAGCCAATCAGAGCAAGCCAAAAGCAGTCTGTTAGCTTGGTCAGGAAGCTGAATTGGTGGCTTGTGAAAGCTACTTCTGGATGCTAAAGACGTGTAGATACACCCAACGTGTTTTCTTTAATGTGATAGAGATCCCTTTCATCCGACCATGTGTGGATTTAATGGTAAAACAGACTTTTTTAAAGCTCGTTTCTAGCTAAGCAGTTTCATCTTTTGCCGTTTATTGTCTGCAATGCTATGGTGCAGAGGAAGTGAAGCATATAACTGAATTCTACACTGCAAAAAAAAAAAAAATCTAATTAATAATGCATTAATAGTGCATTTTTTCCTTGAATTAAGGATTTAAGTAAGACACTTTGCCAATGGAACGAGACAATTTACAGTTAAAATAAGAAAAAAACAATTGGATTGTCTTATTTCAATTGCATAATATCTAGATACCTTATTTTAAGAGTAAAAATACTCCTTCCATTGGCAAATCATCTTATTTACCTGCTCAAACTAAGGGTAAATACCCTTAATTTAAGACATTTTTACTCATTTTGAGATTGTTTTTGCAGTGTACGGAGTCGCTGCTTTCATTTGATGTGTATTTTGTGGTGTTCTGATCCTGGGTTGTGGCCGTGGGGAAAGAAATGTTTATAAGTTGCTATTGTGTGGTGTATTTACATTTTACATCTTTTATTGCATTTGAGCATTACTTTAATTATGTTTTGCACATTTTAAAAAGATTTTTGTTGGCTTTTAGCCTAATTTCTACAGTTAAATTTGATATGATACATTGCTATATTCTTTGATATTAATGCGTGGTTTATCACTGTTGTTATTGTGTAACTATGACGAGGTACCTTAAATGGTACCCCTCAGTTTCAAAGGGTTAAACAATGACTTAAATAACCATAACATATATAACACAGAATTCTTCTTACAGTCTAGAGTTGCTGTCCTCATTTGAAATACAGCAACAAGCAAGGAGAGATTTATTTGTGTGCTTTAAACCTAATAAAGCCTTGTTGACTGAAAAACATTCCTTCTAAGCTGAGTTTAACAACAAGCAGCTCCTCAATCACTGCTTGTCTTTCACAAACATGTCAGCCTCTAATCACAATCAGCTACCTTAGTTGCTTTGGCCGAAATCTCTGAACTACTGTCACAGATCGTAGTGATTAATTTAGTCAGTAAAATTTTACAAGGATAACTATAAAACTGGAGCCTACTCTTTTCTTTCAAGAAAGGAAAATATGATCATTTAAAACCCAACTATTAGTGAATGCATAAATTCTTTATGATCTTACAAAATTTATACATTTCTTTCCCAAAACTGGAGCTTCAGAAAAAGGTTTTGATGTTTTTATGCTCATGTATTCTCATCTCCATGCATACTTTTGTTTACATCTTTACAAAGGCTGGTAATTGAGAGCTGCAGTCGCATTTGTTATGGTTGGAAAACAATGTTCAAATATGACTACTCTTCTCTTTTTTAAATGGCAAGTTCATTTCCAGTCTTTTGTTAACCACAAGCTCTCAGGCATTTTTATAGCACCATGTAATAACATTTTATAGCCGGCTCCTGGAAATGATGCAGCACCACTGCAGAAAAGGTTCACGTTTAAATATGGATAGATATTTATTTGAAGTGAAATCACCTGACATTTAGATCTAATTTAGTTTTATTTTTTGAGTCAATGTTTTACCATTAATTAAAATGAAATTAAAACAGGATAATTTTTTTTGTGCAGATATCATATGAATGTTAGTAGGGTCACCAGTCTTTTTTTTTTATATGCATAAGCCAATCTGTTCAGAGAGACATTATATGAGAGCATTTGGCTTCGGCAAAAACGACTAAATGTCCACTCTAACGCAAACATGTTTTTGTTTTTTTTAACACTCTTTTAGAACAGGCCAGACACAGCTGGGGATTTGATCATAAAAACAAAGTATTCAGCGCTTCTGGAAATATTTGCGCAGTGTAAAAAAGAAACTTTCTCTTTTTTCAATGTTCTTTTTTATGTGATGCATAAATTGTTTAAATCTAACCTGAAGGATTTCCAAAAACCACAAAAGACTGCACAAGGTCATTTTTACTGAACAGAGACCAAGGCGAAACAGAAAAGCGTGAAGTACATGAAAAGCAAAGTGCATCCATGTTGCTTTTTTTTTTAACCTTTTACAGGAGTTAAGAGGGAATGTA